GTCTGTGTTCCTTTAGATCAAATGGTAGTTTTGCTGGGAAAAAAAATGAGTACTCTGTATGATGAGTGATAAATATCCTGTAGCAATTTTCAAACATACCGTTGTTTAGGTCTCTGCAAGTAACATAATGAAGTTTATGTTGTCAAAACTTACTTGCAAAATAGCTCTCATCTTTTCGCAAGAATTTCAAGGAACAGGAAAATCTTCAACTGAAAAAGACTATATTGTCACTACAAGACTAAAAAAGTACTAAGCAATGAAGTGTTAAGCAAAATCCTGAAGGCCAAAAACTGCAAACCATGAAACTTTAGCACACCATTATTCAACAAAGCACTCAAGTTTTTCACTGGGACTTGTGTGTGGACTTAACTGTTAGAACTTACAACTCCTTGCATGTAGCAGCAAAAGCTTAAAATAATGTTTTGCCCCACCACCTAGCAGTGAGACAGAAAGCACTACTATACAATGGAATGGTGGAATAGTTTGGAAATTGTTTCAGTAAGGATGTCAGAGAAGTTGTTGAGAAAGAACGGATGATGAAGAGTTGCCAAGCTGGAATACAAAATAGCCTTTTATATTGCTTAGAAAGGTAACTGTGCTGCGTAATGCATTGACCTTGGGCTGGGTTCCAGGTGTGAAAGGGTTTTGCTATGTCTTGTTCCCAACATAAAGAGAAGTGATGGGCACAGAGGTAGCCAGGGAGCTGAGCATGCACACAAAGGCAGTAGTGACAACCTTGCCATCTTCTGTGAAGAGGAGAAGCCCCCAGCTATACGGGAAGGGCTGCTGATCTTTGGTACTTAATACACTGGTTAGATGGAACCCAGTGATATCCCAAAGCTGCTTTTCTTCCACTCTGAGGCATTTGAGTTGGCAAGCTCAGCCTTTTTTACTTGTTGCATTAAAAAAAAGCAATCAAACTATCTTATTTTATCAGCTTTTCTCTGTGATGTTATTCCTTGTGGTCTCCACTGAATCAGACAGGACCTCAATAAGGTGAGTTTTGCTCAGACTAAAAAGAGATTTGTCTGCAAGCGTAGTTTATGATAATTAGGGGAAAAACAAGTTGGACAGGATGCTGAAGAGAAAATTGAGGCCTGGTAATACGTGCAAACAGGGAGAGCTGTTGTTGTTTTTCATCTTCTCAGTGTTTTGTTTTTCAGCAGCAGAAGCTGTTGCCTTTTGCTTCCTCCAAACAGGAACTAATAATGATCTACCATATGGACCAATAAGAATGGTGTCTTGCTTTTGTTGAAGCATTTTTTTTTCCTGAAAAAAGAAGACCCTTTTCCTCTTGTGTATAATGAAGGATTGTAAGTGGAATGCTGCTTGGTGTCTGGGGTGCTCGGTTGCTCCTCCTGTTTCTGAGACAGGTAGAAAAGTATGCTGAAATTGTAAAAATGACTGGTCATTTTACAGTCAAAGTGAAAAATCTGACACTGATGTGCAAGCAAGATACACTAAGCTATAAACTAAGTCTGGAATGCTTTTCCCTTGAGTCCTCTCTAAACTGAGAGAAGTGGTATATCAAGGCAATCTCCATTCACGCTTGCACTGCTGGGCTGTCAGAAAGCAGTTGAAGAAAACTGGTAAAACTCCCGTCAGAGGTTGCTGACCACATGGCTGTAAAGAACCCTGCAATGCTATATTTAAAAAAGCAATCAAATTCAAGTCAGCTTGCTTGTTCTGGGTATTTTCTGCAAACTGTTTATTACCATGCCAATATCCCTTTGTTTCCAATTTTTGCATAATAAACCTCTGAAAATTTAACTCAGCTTCACTGGTGTATAAGAACTAGACATGGCAGACATGGCTCTATTCAACACTTCTGAGAATTAGCTTCAAAAATCAAATTAAAATGAAGCAAACCCAAATAGACCTGGTAGTTCTACACAAAGTTGCCACACCCGTTCATACTCATCTGTGCCTCTGCATTTTACATTATTAATATGAGGTATCTCTGCAAGTAGCATTACAGTGCACTTACTGCATATGGTAAAGGTGAGAAACTCATCAAACATACGGCACATAAATATATTAAGGTTGCAAGGCCTTACTTACATAAGTGTTCCTACTTGAATAAAAATTCTACTTCTTTATTCATTTCCAAAGCTGAGGGGAAACAACATGATTTTTACCTTAGAGCTTGAGAAAAAGGAGGTGAAGGTGAGAAGTACAACATTCTCCAAACAGGACTGTGTGCTGTGACTTGCAGAAATGGCCATAGGACTGTTTTTCATACTTTAACAAACATTATTTTTAGTTTTTTCTCAATCATATTTAAAGGTAAATATTTAAATTTATATATATATACAAACAACATTGGGCACAATAAAATATTTCTCTAAAGAGGTATTCTAAAGCAATATATGCAGACCTATTTCTGAGCATTTACAGTAATGGCTGTAAAGAAGGACAGTACAAAACACTGATGGGTTTTAACACATAACTGCTGAAATGCATGCAAACACAACTTGATTTACCAAATTAACAATACCCGTTGTATTAAATGATTAAAAATTTTGATTTTCGAGCAGAGAAAAGCACACACTTTCAATAGGGTGTCTGTGCAGTTCTTTATTTCTTTTTTATACAGCAAGGCGCCGAAGGCAAACCAAATGTCTTTATTATATATGGAGTCACATTGGAGGTCATTAGCTTCAAATAACAATTAGAAACGTACAACTGAAATATTACTAAATATCTAAAGCTCCCGAGAAAAGAATAAAGAAAAAGGGGCGGTGTAAGCAATTTAAAGGACAGATGCAATGTCTGTGACAGAAATACAGCTGTACTGGTGCTCTGGAAGACCAGCACTGCCGAAGCCACACGGGGCGAACAACAGCGAGGTGTTCTGCAGCACTATTCCTGATTAAGATAATAAGAGCATTAACAGAACAGCGCGGGGCTGCATTTCCCCAGTGTGCAGACAGTACCATGAAATGAGCATGAAGTGAAGCAGCTTTACAATGTACTGCCTCCTCCGGGCTAGTCATGACTGACACACGAGGTAGCAAAGAACCGACGGCAGTGCTATCAGTCCGCTCTAACCAATGCGTCGGTGGGTCGCTGTCCCTCAGCCCGGCTCTTTGTTCCGGGGTCGCCGCTCCTCCACGGGACTTTCCTTTCTCTCCCCGGCGCTGCGGTGCCCCTTTGCGGCACACGGCCGGGCGGGCAGCGGCACCGCGAGCGCGGGACGGGACTGCCTTATTTTACGTTTCTGTACGGGCGGAAGCGAGCACGCGCAGCGCTCATTTCCGCAGCAGCGCAAGGACACGGGGCCGGAGAGGTGCGAAGTGCCCTCACGCGGAAGGATACCGCCGCGTCATCGCAGCGATGTAGGCCCAGCCGCGGCCATTTTGTGTGCGCAGAGCTACGCCGGGCAGGGCGGCGGTCCGCCGTCAGTACCGGGGGGTGGGGGGAGGAGCGGCACCGCAGAGACGCCGCTCGGCAGGCAGGGCCCAAACCACCCCTCCCTTCCTCTACGTCGGCGCGGCTCGCGCCCACCTCTCGCGAGACACCCGTCCCTCTCCCCCCCCCCTCCCCGTTGCGGGGGCGGAGCCACGATGCCCCCAGACGCCGCTTTCCCGCCCCTCCCCTGCGCAGCCCCCGGGGTGTGGCTGCAGTCGGGCACGCTCCGCCCCCTCCTCCCCCCGGGTTCGGGCCTGGCCGGCGACGGCGGCGCTGCGCGGCGGTGTCGCTGCCCGCTTCGCTCTCCTGTCTGCTCCTCTTTGTCGGGCGGCGCCCCGCGGCTCCCCCCTTCCTCCTGCCGCTCCTCCCGGCGGTGACGGGAAGCGGCGGGCGCGGCGCTCCCCCAGGCGCACGGCCCGCCGGCCGCAGGACTCCGCCGGCCGCCGCTCTCCGCTCCGCTCGGGCGCCCCCCTCGGCGGCTTCCGCAGGAAGGAGCGGCGCGGCTGCCCCCTCCCCCTCCCCGCCTTCCTTCTCCTCCTCCTCCTCGCGCCCTCCTCCCGGCCCCCCCGCAGCGCGAGCGGAGCGCGGAGTCACCGCGGCGCACAGACGGCCCCGGCGGCGGCGGCACTCGCACACAATGGCGCTGAAACGCATCAACAAGGTGAGCGGCCCGCGCCCCGCCCTCGCTTCTCGCCGTTCTTTCTGTCTTGGGCTTTTTTTTTTTTTTTTTTTTTTGTCGTTTCATCATGGAGGCGCTGCGCCACACCGCCCGCCGCGAGCGGCCCGGCCGCTCTCCCTTCGCCCCGCCGGGCCCGGGCCGCCGCCGCCGCACCCCGCCGGCCGGAGGCCGCCCCGCGGACGGCCCCGCCGCTCGCGCTCGGCCCCGCCGAGCTCCCGCCCGCGGCGGATGGGGCTCCCGGGCGCTCCGGGCCCTCCCCGCGGCGGCGGAGCGGTCCTCCCGGCCTCCCCGCGGCGTGCGGCGCCTTTCCCGCATTGTAAGATGGCGGCGGCTCGGCGGGTCCGGGCCCTTTCCGGGATCCCGCGGCGCGCACGCTCCGAGCTCCCCGGAGCCGGGCTCGGCCCCGCCGCCCCATACGGCCCCACCGGCGGCGGAAGCGCCGCGCCGAGGCCGCGCCGTTGCACAATCGGGGCCGGGTGGAGCGGCTTCACAGCTAAGTCGGAAAAAATGCCGCGGTGATGACAGCGTAACGCGTTCCCGGCGAAGGAAGGAGGCCGCCGGCTCGGGGCTCGCTGGCGGGACGGCTCCGTCCCGTGGCCGCCGCCCGGCTTCGCCTCACCGGAGCGGGGAGCGCCGGCTCGGCCGTTGTCGCCAAGATGGCAGAACGGCTGCGCCCGGCCCGGGGCGGCGGGGTGTGTGCCGCCTCTGAGCCCCGTGAGCGGGCTCGGGGCGCTGCGTGGTCGCGACGGGCTCGGGTACGGTTCGTTGGTGGGAGGACGGCCCCCGAGCTCTGTAATCGGCTCCTGATTAGTTTTACTTTCACGGGTGTCTTCGAGTCGCCGCGCTCTCCCGAGGATTTCAAAACAGTTTCTTTCGAATCCGCCGTCAGAAGTTGTTCCCCGTATTAGCGGTGATATCACTCGAGTTGTGCACAGCCAGGAGCCTCCCTGGGTGCTTTGTCATCAGCTCATGCTTATGAAACGCTCTCGGGCGCTGCAGGTAAGTTTCCTGTTAAAGCGAAGGGATGATGGTTACGTAGGGGGGCCGTTTGCCTCTTTCAGCATCATAACGTCGTGGTGGAAACCTTAAAACGCTTCAGCATAACTTGTGAAGGAGAAAGTCCTCTCCGGCTGTGTGCTCTGGGCCTGCTGCGTTTCTCGGGCCGTCGTTGGTCGTGCTTCCCCCAGTGCTGGGATGTAGAGTCAGAGGGTTGGTGCAGGGTTTTTGGTGCGAGCTTGGTGTTTGTTTTGAAGGTGTTATTTTTAGTCCATTTCATCACAGGGTGCTACAGGATAGGCTTCCAAATTCACGTGGGGTTTACAGTTTCAATTTTGTTTTTCCCCACCTGGAATGTCAAAACGGTGATGTGCAGCAGACTGGAAGCATTGCTTGCAAGCTGCTTGCTTTCAAAACATGGTTTCTGATAAAAAATACTTATTGGGATTGAGGCTGGAATCCAAAAAATAGGAGCAATAATTTTGTAGTGGAGCTGTTTTGAATTTAGATTTTAATATTACCACTCCATAAAGCCAGGGAATGGCACTCTGTTGCTGGTGATCTGGGATCCCCTGTAAGGTCACAGATCAGACCTTGAAACTCTGCTTCCTTGTAGTAGGCTGTTGGCACCAGGTCAGAACAGGCTAAAGAGAGACCAGACCTCAGAACATTGTAATCACAGGTGGCTGATTGAGTCTGACTCGTGGCATTACCTGTCAGGGCGAGAACTCATCATCTGCAGCAGATGACGTCCCAGACGCACTGGGGAAGGTACTTTTAGGCTCTTTGATTCCATCTTTATGGACTTAGATAAAATCCTTTATTGCACTTCATAAATCAGACTCTCAGATTGTGCTGGAGCATGTGAATGCAACCTGAAGCATGCTACAGATTCACCATACAGCCACCCCTTCCTTCTCATGTAACTGATGGACTGCTTTTTGGCTCAGACATGGAAGCACCCAGAATTGCTGTGTTGGGTCCCTGCTTTTGGAACGTGTTGTTAGAGCTCTCCCAGCAGAAGGAATCGTCAGGGACACAGCCGGTCTCAGGAAGATGACGTTATGCTGGATCTCATCCTCAAGTCTTTGCCATCTGCCCTGAGAGTGGCCTGCATTCAACTGGCAGAACTCTGTTTTATTGACGCGGTGTGTTTTACAGAAGAATGGCAGCTGTTTTATTATACCGTTGAAGTACTTCTGCTATGGAATAATGGGAAACTGTATCTTAATTTTAACGGCTTCCTTTCATGAGAATGAATATTTTTTTCCCCTAAATAAGCATAATGGCAATGAAACAAATGGAACAAGTGTATGTAAATGCCTGTTACGTGTGTGCTGCACGCTCTTGGAAGCCTTGAGTGGTGACTGCTAAACGCGCATCCTGTGATTGCTGCAGCATTGACACTTCCGGCTCTGATGTGTTACATCTCTGGAGCAGGGAAACTTTTATTATGCTGGAGTGTGAAGTTGGGATTATATAAAACAGGTAAAATTTGTGGACCTGATGTCATTGATAAGCAGCCGTTCTTTCAGCGCTATAAACGTGCATTGCCATGAAGTGGTATAGAAGGCCTAAGTGTAGAGCAAATGCAGGAGGTAGAAGTGTGTATATATGAAATGCCTTTTCTGTGAAATCCTTGACAAAGCTTGTGCCAGCTGTGTTTTCTGTCTATTTGATTAAATGCAGTACAAGCCATCATCTTTGTGTTGGGAGTAATGTATTGGAAAAACTTCAGAGGAGTTGGCATCCTGGAAGCTAAAGGCTGAAGGTGGCAAAACCATTTATCTGTGCTTAAGTACAGATACAGGGCTTTCACTGACAGTGGCAGACTGGAGGCTGAAAAAACAATTTTCCTCAAGGTTACAGCCCCCAGCACTGTTCCTAGGTGTGTATTTAATTGCAGCTTTATTCTCCCCCCCACACACACACTCTTCCAAATGCTCCGAGTAAGAGATGCTGCTAACCCTGGAGACAGTAGTATTTTTAAGAGATGGAATGCGTTGTGCAGGGATGAAGATAGCATGACAAATCTGTGTCAGTTTAACCAAAGGTGTAGTTTTTGTACAGGTGATCCAGGTGAAAGGTTGTAAAACCTACTTAGTGTGTTTCTTTGTAACCACTTTTTTTTTTTTTTTAAATTGGGACAAAAATGTAAGAGTTTAACTAGAAAAGCTAGCTCTTGGGAATGAGGTTTTCCTCTCTAAATAAAAGCTGCTTTACTTTATTTTGGGAGGTAGTTTTAGACTTGGTTTGCTGGGCTCATTCAAAATTATTTAATAACTTGAAGTTACTTGGTTTATCTTATGCTTTGAATTAATGTCTAGAAATAAGTCTGGATTTATATGGTTGGAGCTCAGAAAATTAAGGTTAGCTAGCTAATGAAGCACAGTTGGTGAAAGATCAGTTAAAATGCTTTAACCTTTATGAATGCACCGAATGTGTTGCATTACATTTTGATATTTATTTCACTGTAACTGTTTTGAATAGGCCAAGTTCCATCTCAAGTAGATAACACCATGTGGCTTCACCACTTTGTGGTTAGAAAGGTCATCTTGGATTGGGGTTTTCAAATCACGAGGTTCTACTGTGTAGTGTTTGGGAAGAACTAGCGTGGAACAACTTTGGGTTTTTGTTTGCTTGTTTGTTTTAAACTAGAATAAAATTATTTGGCATCAGCTGAAATTCGTCATCAGTAAAATTCTGCTTAGGATTAGACAGTCGGAAGTTACATTTGTACTGCAAAATGAATATTATTAAAATGTAAATGATACTCCTGAAGTTGGTAGATTTGCTACCTGTGTTCAAGTCCAGTGCTTACTGTGAAGGTCCTACTTCACAACTGGTCACGCTTGATGAGAGTGGAAGACTAAAGATTCCTTAGCTAGGATGTTTAAGCTGCAGGAATGTAAAGATTTATCTCCATTAACTGGGCACCATGCTTGTGAAGTGGGTTCCCATTCGGCACAGATCTTTAAATGTGTGCTTTGGGATGGGCGGAGGAAGGGGCTGTAATCTCACTTAAGTAATTTACGGAACTTTGGAGATCAATATGCCATTAGATAGATAGATACTTGCATACCTTACAAACAGACTCTTCTGTGCTGAAGGGTTTGGGTGGGATAATGCACTGGGTAAAAGGTTGTCTGGCTAGCATTTTCTTTACGATCATTCCAGCTTTTAAATATTTGTTTTTTGAAAGCAAGCCAGTGCTTTTGATATTATTCCCTATGCGAATATCTCTTCTGCAAGAGAGCTGCTGTAGAATTTTGTGAAATGAGCTGCCTTCAACTGCCTGCAGTCAGTAAGCAGAGCCGTAGCAGCAATGCCCTTCTTTGCATTTAAGAAAATGGGTAACCAAGGCAGGGGAAGGCTGCAAACAACTGTAGGAGCAGCTGCAGAAAGTGCAGCAGTGAATTGCCTCCTGCCCAAGGCATCTCTGTGGGCCCCCCCCTGCCCTGAGCACCTCAGCAGCTTGGCAGCAGCCCCTGCACCGGCTGGGCTACGCTGAGCTGAGGAGGGAAGGAGGGGACAGAGGTTCTACGCCCCGCGGAGCCATGGTGACAGCTGCTAAAGGGGAGTGAAGAGGGGCAGAACCTGTGTGCAGTTCAGATTAGGGTCTTGATGTGCCATCTCGGGTAAATCTTTCTGTTGCAGATATTAAGGTTCTGCTGCTTTAATTGTCTGTCCTGTGTTCTGCTGTAGCTCCCTCCCCTGTGCGTCAGAGCTGGCAGATGGGAGCGTGTGTTCTGCACTCCACTGTTAGGTCTATCTCAGCATAGGCTGACTTTGCTAATGTGCTGCAGCTTACATTGAAACGTTTGAGTTACAGGTGTTCATTTTCTCCTGTGACAGTGGTGATGTAGCCATCTGCCTGTATAATATGCAGAAAAAACTAAACTAGCTGGGGTAAGAAGTGAGAACTGCTGTAATAATGTGTATATGTTTGCAGACAGCAGCACATTCTTAAACATAATTCCTGTTAAAGCCAGCTTGACAGAAGTAGAGAGTATTCAGCTATATTGAACTGATCAAGCTGGATAGTTTTGTGGACTTTCTGAGCTTGCATTTAATATTTCAATGGGAAGTATTGGAGGTGTTTTTTGTTTTTTCTTTTTTTTTTTTTCCCCAGAAAATCTTTAGTGGGTTTTTCATGGGGTGCTGATGAAATGTAGTAGGCTGTGCTGAGCAAGCTGTTCAAAAAGCTAGTTAAAATTATGTTCACACGTTTAAGTTGGCATCCATACTTTTCTCAACCCTTTGTGAAACACTTTGGGACAAAGTTTATTACTGAAAAGTGAGCCACACAGAGCACTGCAAGATTCCAGACGGAAAGCTGAAGAGAAATGAGATGTTTTTTATTATTACTATTGTTTTAAATGTTATTGAGAACCTTCTCATCAATAGCAAGCTTTGATGTTAAAATTTTGTGCAAAGGAACCCTTTGTTCTGACCTCCATCCCTTTGAGAGACATGGTACAGTAGACTTCTTCAAGGTTTCCTCTGGTTTTGCCCAATACACTCGGTTATTATTTGTTCTAGTTTTAAGAAAAGGAGGATTTCAGACTGCTTTGCAAATGCTCTGACCCGGTGGAAGAGTGATGAAACAGAAGTTTAATCCTTTCCCGAGCATCTGGACTCCAGAGCTGCAGTAGAACTGGGGGTGGGTACTGGCGTGCTGTAGGTCAGCTGGGTGGAAGGGGCATGAAAGCTGTGCTGTGTGCTGCACTCAGCTGCTTTTATGGGGAGCTTCCTCTGTGCCATGCAGCTGGGCTGGCCAGGTGCTCAGTGCTTCATCCTCTGCCAGCAGCAGCTTCGGGTTCCTGGTAAATAGTAAAAATGCTCTAAGGTAATACTTCCCAGCCTTTGCTTGCCTGTCCAAGTAATAATGCCAGCCGGTACTGTAAGTCAGATGACTGCAGACTTTTTCTCATCTTAGACTTGGGCTTGCTGTGTTCTTTCATTCAACAGTGTAGGAGGACCTCCTGAATGATGATTTTCCAGATGAGTGGTGCCCCCTATTCTGTTGCAGCAGTTCGGGGTGGCAGCTGCAGTCTCTTCATAAATACACTTATAAACACTGTTGTGTTTTTTTGTTGTTTCTGTCTTCTCCTAAAAACCCTTCTGAACATCCGTGTTCTCTAGATAGCTGAGACAAGTGCCAGAGCATCTGAAGTTTACCTCAGTAACTACCTGGGAATGTGTTTACATCATTGGCTCAATATGAGCAGATGTACCTAATTGTCTGGACAGTCATCATAGAACAGCCTGGGTTGAAAAGGACCACAGTGATCATCTAGTTTCAATCCTCCTGCTATGTCCTTAGTTCTGCCTCTGCCATTTGCTGCTCTGAACAGAGATCCATTGTGGTTGTACACAACAGCGTAAGATGCTAGCAGAATTGTACAGCTCTAAATAAGATAGTGAAAGAATTACCTCCACAATGACACGCTGTCACATTCATGAAATATCCCCATAATGATATGTATCTATCATTGGCTTTTGTGTGCGTCTGGGAATTAATGCAAAACAAGGAACAGTCAAAGTCAAAAGAGCTTTGTTAAAGGAGAGTTGATTTTCACTTAGTTTAAATATTTAAATTTTGGAACAGTCTTCCAGACTTCCTCTAAACAACAGATGCACTGCACTCCACGTCTTGTGACATTGTTCATCGCAATATTAATTTGATGACTTTGTCATGCAGTCCTCTTTTCCATGCATTTCTTGAGAACAAGGAGAATTCTTGCATTTTTAATTGAGTGGAGACTTAGAGGTTAAGCACACGGTTAAGGCCACTTGCTATTTCTGTAAAATCCTGCTCCGTTCATGGTCATGCCCAAGGTTGTTATTTGATGAAGCCTGGTGAACTACTGGTGTGCTACTGTCACATGGATGTCAGATACTTGTTGCTTCTTCTGGTGGGGGCCTTGAATGCTGGGCAACAGGGTGGTGGGAGGCCCCACCTCAAAGCCCAGCATCCAGCCAGTGTTGGTGTGAAATTGTCTGTTGCCGTGCCAAAATCTCATTCCTGAGCAGTGCTGATTGAATCATAGTGCCACACTTTGAATGTAAGTTTTTTCCAAGTGCATCATTTTGAGTTTATTTGCTGAATTTAATGTGCCCCTTCCTTCCCCAATCATCCAGTTTCGTTGTTTAGCTGGGCATAGCCTGCTTCTCCCATTGTGGCTGGCTTTCACTGCTGACCTTTGTCTGGGAATGCTGCCCTGTAGTCCTGGGTCACAGAACAGATGGTAGGTACGGTTCTCAGAGGAGAAATCTGTGAATAAAAAGCATGACAAGTTTCAGGGTTCTAGTAGGAGAGAGCTTGGGAAAGGCAGAGGTAAAATACCCAGTTATTGCTGAACTAAGAGGTAGTTAACAGGTACTTTGCACTTATCCTTCAGAACGTTTTAGTCTGTGTGCATGGTTTTTTAGTAGTGCTGTTACTTTCAGGGAATGGCAGCTGTTAACGCGTTTGAATTCAAGTGAGTAAAGAGGTCAGATTTTCTTCATCTTTGGTAAGATAGCTCTATGGATTTTGTTTACTTTGGAGTAAAAAAAGCAATACTTCTGAGTCCAGAGCCCAACTGTAGGTGAGTTGCTGCCACCTTTTTCAAAGTTTGTTCTGAACGCCTTTAGTGAGTGACCTTTTTTCCCATCAATTTGCCAGTTTGCAGAGGTGAACTCTGGGAAAGTTTGGGGTAGAATAGTGCCACTTCAGCTGCAGTAACAGTGAAATTTGCTGGAAACCATTACCTACATTGTACACCTTCCAAACTTGAGAGCAGGTGAGAAGAGCTGTAGACAATAGCCTCATTCACCAGTGTCTCAGGTAGTGAAAGGTAGGTTCTTGAAAAAGATAGCTTGTAGACATTGGAGAAGTTGGTATCACAGTCCAAGCACCCAGAGTGACTTTATTAAACATCAATCTGGCATCTCCTTCTTTGATTCCTAGGTTTGAAGATTGGGTATTTCAGTGTCTATTTTTTAATAAGTCATTTTGATATTGTTGCTAGATATTGTGCGAGCAGTGTGCAGTGGGTAAGCTGAAAGCTTTAATAGTAAAAACTAAAGAGAGGGCAAGCATGAAGAGTAGAACATGCAAAACGATGATGATGGGGATTATCACCACTGTTACGTTTCTGGATGTGGTGCCTTGCGTTTCTTAGGAAGTACTCTGCTCTTCGGCCCTTGCTGTTTTCTGTAAACTTCAGCCTACATCTTTATTACGCGTTATCATTGTACTTAATGATATTTTTTAATCCTTAGTTTTAAATGCTAGTCAAATGGCCAGCTTGTTTAAAGCTGATAATTTTCTGCTGGTTAGACTTGTGACGTATATTGTACCAGAGTGTTCCTATTCAGCCTAAAAATCCATGTTTTTCAAACTGTTATTTTCTGCTTCCAAGTATAGTTCATTTTCATGTTGAAAGGAATGTTGTGAATGCAGGTGTGTGGGATAAAGCAGTAGTTCTTTGCTGGCTGACACTTCTTAATCTTCAAACAGGCTTAAATGTTCTTCCCCTCTGTTTATAGCTGCTTCCAATCCTTTCTTTTTTAAGCTGTTTTCAACAGTGAGCTAGTGACTAAAGACTAATAGAGTGGTGAATTTTTGGATGCTCAGTGTTTGAACTGTTTATGACAGACTGTATTAGACAAACGCTGCGATTAATAAGTGCTACTTTTTGTTTGGCTTAAGTGATGTTTTTGTTTGCTTGATGTTGGTTTGTTGTTGTTGTTTTAAATCTTCTGTTGTAAGTGATTATTACCTTTCCTTCCCTCTGATGCAATACAAATTAGCATCTAAAAACTTGCAGCAAATCATCCCTGTTCTTTCTTGACAGGACCAGAAAGCTGTCAGTTTATGATTTCAGCGAGTAATTGTGTTGTAAACTGGTATTAAATTTAACTGTGCATATATGGCTGAGAAGATGAGTGATGTTTTGCCACTCTGTATTTAAGCTGTTACCATCATTAAAAATAAAGCTCTGTCTGTTTCCAGCTTAAACTAGAAAAATACAGCAGTGGAGCCACAGGGAGTGTGAGTTCTGAGAAGTGGGAAGCAAAGGGGCTGGCACTGACTGCCCAGTTTGGTTGCATGTGGGAAGGCAGCTTTCTTATGCAGCAAGCCGTCATTTGCTACTGGCTTGGATGCTTTTGTGAGAAGAGCAGCTTGTTGCCTTAAGTATTTACCTTCACGGTCTTGCTTGTGCATTTGGGTGAGGCATCCTTGATCATTCTTTGAATATTCTTTGAATTTTCCTCACCATTTAGATGACTTCTATAATCTTTTTGTAAGCAACTGGTGGAGAGGAATTGTGTGAGGCTTCTTCAGAGCTTTTCTGTCAATTTGTTTTTGAAAAGTGGTATTCCTGTCATTTATTATATCACCTAGGATCATACTGCTGCATTCACAGTCACGTGCCAGTGTTATAGATCTCCAATAGAAGTGTATGCCATAATTTTATGCAAAACAAGCAGCTAGTTAATGGTTTAAGTGTTTGGTTTATTTTTTGGCTAATTTTACTGAACTTATAGAGAGAGGTTGTGAGAATTTTCCAATAAAATTATGGTTACTACAGCCTTAATATGAAACTGGCAGTAAACCACAGCATGCGGTGTGGAAGCGGGGCTGTCTGTTGATGTTGTCATACTTCCACTTTTCCTTAACTTTTCCAAAACTGGTGCAAAGCTGTACCTATATGTCATCCTGTACATGCTACCACTGTCCTCTGGCATGGGTGCTCGCTCCTTAAATAGTGCTTAAACCTGCAAAATGCTGTGTGACTAATCTTCCCTGGGGAGGAGCAGGAGCTATCACAACTTTATATTTGGAAACTGGGGCAGCAGTGGTGATATGCTGGAGCTACACCGGAAACCTGTGGCAGAGCCAGAGACTACAAGTCATGGCTGTAATTCAAGACTCATCCTTTCCAAGTAGGTGTGCAGTGCACCCCTGAACCAGCTTCTGTGCAAATGTTTCCACGTAAAGCCTTGGGAATTGACTTCTTGGGAAAATACCTATTTTTTCCTAAGCCACCTGGAAAATGAAAAATAGAGCAGCTGGCTCCAGGAAAGCGTGGGTTCTGCATTGGGTATTTTAAAAACAGTTTGAGATGTAACTTGGTGTATACCTTAACAAAGGGAAGCACCACTGAAACTGGGTGTAAGCAAAAAGCTGCAGAGCTGTAGATAGGCAGTGTAGCAGAAGGAATGTGAACATCATAAAGCCCTTATGCTTAGAGCAGCACTGGGGAACTTTTTTAGCATTTTTGTATTCTTAAATATTAAACACCACTTGATAGGGTGAAACTTGATGTGGCCATAACTTATTAGTGAGAAGTGGGTGAAAGCTGGGAAAAAAATTTGGAGCTTTTATCAGCCCCTGGCAATTACCAATCTTAGTTCTGCTTTTGGAAATACTGTCAGATGAAGCATATGCCTGTTGTGGAATGGTTGGTCTCCGTGGCTGAGCTAAAGAGGAAGGTCAGTGTTGGGTCTGCTGATGGATTGCTAGAGAGAAGGCTCCTCCCTTTTCTGTACAATTGCACTAATGTGTCACAGCCGTATGTCTGTGCCTGCCCAGTTTCTAGTTCTTCCAGTTCGCCCCTTGCATTCAGCAGAGCTGTAGCTTTCAGAAGCAGGCACCTCTGAAAGTTATGGAGAGAACTTTTTGTCCCGTTTTTAGAAAAAGCCCTCCCTCCTTTTGTGTAGCTGTGAGATGTCACACACTACCAACTAGGCAAATATCAGCTTGGTGTTACTGGGAGCAGGAAGTACTGGCTGCTATTGCTTGTATCTGCCTCAGTTCTTCTCCAGCACTTACACTACTGAGACAAACAACTTCCTTCCCAATTTTATTCTTATGACTGTGGTACCTAAGGGATCATGAAGAGAATACAAGAATGAGTGCTAGTTCTCTTGTATTTCTGACTTCAGTCAGTAAATCACTTGTTCTGTGGTGGAAATACTGAGTAATGTATCATGTTCCTAGCCTTATCTCTACTTTGAATTTCTTTGTTTAGCACAATTAGGTTTTCTTGTACTTCAGTGTTCTGGGCCAGACAAAACTTGAGACCTTTATGAAAATCACTGCTTGCCTGTTCCCCAGACTCGTTTCCGTAGTTAAAAGGGCTAACTCTCTATGGACCTGTATTTTGAGTCTTCGATTACTGGAGCGTGCAAACTCACATGTTTCAGTTTGTAAATTACTGAAGCCTTTTTTTCTTTCATGAAGTTTTTACTGACACTTCTTAAATACTTTTCTTACATTTGCAGTCCTACTTACTTGCTTTTCCTAGGAATTATTGATATACTCAAATTTCTCTACTGTGTTAAAATGTACTTGTCAACTGCTTTTTAAGCTGAATGTTTCTCTGAAGACAGTAGTACTTTTAGAAGAACTCTCTAGCCTATTGTACGTACCTCTGGCTTTCCACTTGTAGGCTGATCTTTTCTTGCCCTTCTTGTCTTCATAATTTCTATAAACTTTGTGAAGAGTCATTTCATAGTTCTTAGACCCCATAATGGTTTTTCAGAAATAGGATCATCTTCCCAGATTAAATCAAATAATGTAGTAGTAACAGCATAAGTACATTAAAATATAATAATAGTCTTTATGTGTCTTCCTTTGCTACACTTTATTTTAAGGGACAAAGTAGCCAGGGGAATTTTTTTCCCGGATATCATAAACAATCAACTGATCATTTTTGTAATTGGAAGGACATCTAAATGAGAAGTCAGCCTACTTACCAGGACTTCCTTTATTTGCTAAGTGTATGCTGAGGGGAAACCTGAAAATTTAAAAAAAAAAAAAAAAAAAAAAGCTTTCCATATAAAAGTTTTTACATTTCTTTTTTTGTCTTTACATAGATGGTTTAAATCTAACCTAGCAAGTCCATGGAACAACATGTGGACCGGAGCAGAGATTTCATTGCAGAAATAAGAATGTCCCAGGCACCCCCCAGCAATAACAGGGGAGTGCTGTATGACAGAAGAGTGCTCTGTGAAGGGGTTTTCTGTGCTCTAGAGAGAGCTGTTGTCCACCCTTACAAATGACTGCAGCGGTGAAATGGATGAGAACACTCGTTCCACTGTGCCATTGCTTATGAAAACTGATACAGTTCCATTTTTTTTCTGCACAGTCTCATACCAGTGCAAAATTCAAATCTTGTTAATTGGAAAGGTGATGAAAATCAACACTTATAAGGAGGGGAAATAATGGTCTTCGGTGTTCTTAGAACCTATGGGCTTCTACACATTCCTCTCTTCCTGTGTTTACAAGAACAAGGTATTCACATTGGAAGGAATGCATTTTTCTTCTCATTTTGTTTTGGTTTACATTTACTAATTTTTCATCAAATGTAGAATTTGTCAAATCTAAAAGATAGACATCAGAACTTTCCCAGGCAGAGCTGGCTGCTGTCTGGTCCAAATGTGCGTGTTTCCAACCAAATAAATGTGTCTGGGTTCCTTAGAAGTCTGAGACTGTAATGGAAAGTTCTTGTTTTAATGGCTTGTGTGGGCCTGTAGTAAATAACTTGGGAGCAACTGCTAATATCTGGGAGAAGGACTGAAGGTTTTTCCCCATTCTTGTGACTTCGAATGCCTTGACAAGTGCAGTTTTACACAAGTTCTTGAAGCCATTTTTAGCTTTGAAAAACAGCAGGGGGGAGGGAAGGTATTTGCTACGTTCTGTAACTGAAAGCCATCATTTTGTTAGAAAATACACCATCCAGTCAGGTAACCTACAGAGTGTTTAAATGAATCCAGAGTTTCTGAGATTCATCACTGTGATCTTGATACTAGACAAGGAATCCTCCATTCTGAGTTTCTGTTTTTGTTCCCTGTGAAACAAGGGAGCGGGGGGATCTGGTTTCTGCATCTTAGTTCAGAATTTTAAAGGCACAATTGTCATGAATGTAAAGTTTAAAATAAAAAGTGCAGATACTTTGCCTGGTTCCGATATTTGTCAACATCTTCAATTTACTTGTCTGCTTTATCTTATGAAAAATGTATTCTTGCTAGAGGCAGTGGGGAAAAAACTGAATTTTATACACAGTGCTTTCTATGTCATGAAAACTAACGACAGCTTTCTCATTCCCAGCTTAACGCTTCTCTGGCTAAGACTTAATCCTTGGAAATCATGATCAGAAACTGGTTAGACTTAGCCCACTGCAGGCTCAGTGACCTGGTCTCTTTGTCTGTTTTGCAACAGGAGTGTCTTAAGAGGAGTAAAAAGTAGTGATATTTAGAAAAGTGTAGTTATCTTAATTGTTGACCTTCGTGTTCAGTTTAGCCAGTTGTCTTTTACAAAGGTGTTTCTGATATTGATCTGTTGATTTAATAGTTGTCACTGCACATTCTTCTGTATTTGTACATGGAAAAACTTTGAGAGGTTTTTGTTGGACATGAATTGAAAACGACTGTTGAATTCATTAGCATTTCTTCTCTGAACAGATCTTTGTTTTTTTTTTTCTTTCTTCCTAAGGAACTTAGTGACTTAGCTCGTGATCCTCCAGCGCAGTGTTCAGCAGGTCCTGTTGGAGATGACAGTAAGTAATCTTAGGTTTTTAGTTTTGCTCTACTAACACAAAGCATACCATGCTTAGATAATAATGCAGAGTTTTTCTTTTGTAGTGTTTCATTGGCAAGCCACGATTATGGGACCTGTAAGTATTCTATTTCTTGTGATGTAATATTAAACCAGTAGATCCTATTCAGGAAGAACCTGTGTGTTTTTTCCCTATTTTGCTTTTTTGTTTTAAAACTCATTATCAGACAGTAGCTCTAGAGGTATTTCTTATAGTAACAGAAAATGGAAGTGAGAAAATAATCAGTCTGAACACAATTTTGTTGCTGGGGTATTTATACCAGAACTCATATTGGGGGTGGAATAATTTCTAGAACAATCTTGGCCGTTATCACCTTATTTCTAGAAAATTTCTTTGCATTTAACTGTTTCTACACTTTGAGTTATGACTGAGGAGAATCCTGTGTGTTAAATGTACAGTACACAACTGAAACCTGAGTATTCATATTTCCTTGTTAAAGAAGGCAAATACTTGTTCTAACTAAAAACATAACACGCAAGCACTTGACATCTGCAATTCTCAGGGCTAATTAGCTATATTTAGAAAACTTTTTATAACTTGAGACCAGTATCAGATGCCAGTAGGCCTGGAGCCCCAGAGTTATGCTTCTGGTGAGGCTCAGAGTAGGAATTAAGTATCAATGATGCTCAGTTGTCCTACTTCTGTATAACTACAAGCATGTTTTAAGTAGATCACCACTGAGAGTTTGCGTGTCAGAGGTTGACTTCATTGGAAAAATGACTTCATTCCCAAGTTCCTGGTCCTCATTGATTGTAACTAAGTGCCTCAAAAAGATAAAAATCATTTGAAATACAAGACATGTTCTGCGCTGTACTGAATTTGATTTTATGTACCTGGTGTCTGCATGGTCATAAGGTATTAAGTATTAAACATCAGTTGAATTTTAAAATGGCATTATTATTTTTAGCTCCTGGTTTAACAATGTACAGCTCCTTTCTTTCCCTTTGTGGTTTCCTTGGTGTCAATCAGAAAGATCTGTATTCCTGCTTCAAAATTGGCCTGACAGTGTGATGTTAGCTCTAGTGCTCACCTGGTGCTGCTTAGTGCCTTCAAGGGTAGTATCAATCATCTGGCATTCCTGCTCTGCGGATATTACAAAGGCTGTGATTTTCTTAATAAGATGCAAGAGTGCTTGTATTAGTTCATCAACTTCAGTTTTAACATACTCTGGGAGGAGTTTGCTCCCACACTTGCTAAAATGTGAAGTAAAGGGGTTGTTTCTTTAAGTTTCATGTAGTACCCTTGACCGCATACAAGAGGTTACATCTATTGCTAGGTTGTTGGTATGGTACTGTGTAAGAGATACGACCTGTGTGTTTTCAGGTTTTAGTCCCTTGTGTTGCAGTATTTCATTTGTTTCTTTGTAGCTGAGAAAGACATAGTGTCGTCTTACACTGGTATGAAATGTTCTTACAGTGAATATAAAGATTCAGATAACAAGCAATTCAGAAGTGTACGGTGTCCCACATTCATTTTGATAGCCATACTCCTGGAGTTGTGTTATAGTTTTCACTTCAAACAGCGATAATGTGCAGTACTCTCCCATACCTGATAATGTTGAAGTACTTTTCTGTAAAAGAGGAAGAATTCTCTTTAATCTCAATGTGGTTTTTTTAATCTTGATGCTTTTCTTTTTACCCTCTTCCCCGTCCTTCCCCCTTCCCTCCCAACAAATACCCCATGGAACAAGGAGTTAGCTATGTGTTGGTAGTTTTTTCCAGTGCTAAGGAACACCTAAGCTAAGGGTAGAACTTATGGGAGGCCTTTGGCTGTTGTAAAATTGGGTGGTTATAACAAATACATTCCAAACACTACTTGTTTTTGAACCTGTTAGGCAGTACTTCCACTCTTTACCATTCAATTGGGCCATCTCAGGGAAACTGAGATGCCTTTGCCAAATTGTTCTGAGTGAATTGGCAGAAACAATTTCTTTGAAGCATCAGCTTCAGATCAGGTCCATCTGGAAAGAGAGATGTCTGTTCAAGTATCACATACCTAAGGAAGTAGTTGAATTTTAACTATGTCTGTTACATTGGTGTAATAGACAGTTCAACCATTGAAACAAGTTTATTTATGTATTTAAAAACAACGTCTTCTTGGAATTTGTCCTAAGGATGATAATAGGAGAATTATTTGTTTACTTTGGCAGAATGACAGTCCATATCAGGGTGGTGTATTCTTCTTGACAATTCACTTTCCTACAGACTACCCTTTCAAACCACCTAAGGTAAGTATTGTTTTCTCACTTGTGATGTTAGCTGTCTTTAAAGAACCAACTAGAGGATAGAAAATGCCAACATCCGTGTTCTGATGTTGTGAAGGACTTGGTTTTTTGTGCATTCTTAGAGTATCTTAAATGCCCAGGTCCCTCTCTATAACAAAAATAGGTATGCTGGCATACATTTTCGGGAGAAAATTCATGAATTCTGAATGTCCTGGGTTAGCGTTTGGTTTTATTTTTGTTTTTCTTGATTGTTAGGAAAACTTAATAGCTTTGTGTTACAACAGAATTCTTGCTAAGGGTGCTGTCAAATCTTACAATATGGCTGTTTGGGTTATTCCATGAAAACATGACTCTTGGTGAGTTCTTGAAGTCAGTGATTGTATCTCTTAGTGTTTGGCAGTAGTTATTAAATAATAATGGCTGGTAAAACTACAGAAAAGTATGTCTGCTGATTTTTTTTATTTTTTTTTTTACAATATGAAAGTGCATGCTGGAGTAACCATAACGTTTGGAATTCTTTAGCTTCACGATGTTACTGTTGCCATGGTTCAGACACTTTGGTTGAGCATGTTCATCGTCATGCAGTCAACCGTGATTAAAGCACAGCCTACCACTTGCCCTCTCTCTGAATTAGAATGATAGCTGGATATTGAGAGTGCTTTCTATGAATCTGTGATAGGATTTAACTGCTTAATTATTTTCTTTAGCAGGAAATTGAGTTGACTGACGGCTTGACTGAGAATAGAAGATGTTGTCATAAATCAAAACAAACTCTTCGTATCTTTTTTTTTTTTACAGGTTGCATTTACAACAAGAATCTATCATCCAAATATTAACAGTAATGGCAGCATTTGTCTCGATATTCTAAGATCACAGTGGTCTCCTGCTTTAACTATTTCTAAAGGTAACTTCTATGAGGAAGAGATGTTTCCATTTGGCGTTGGATACTATGCTTTTAGCTTTAATACTCTTGAGTTTCTGCCTATC